AGAGCCTGTCCCGCTAGCTTTTGTTCTTCTGCCCTCTCCCCAAGGACCGTTCCCTTGCAGAACCAAGGCATCCCCTCACCTTCTAGCCTCACGCAAACAGCTTCCAGCCCCCTCAGACTCTAACCAAGTTAGACGCAGTTCAGCCCCAGGCAACCCTCCCACCACTCACTGAGTTTCTGGAGTGGGCTTATTCCTTCAAGAAGGCTCTCCCTGTTTTTAGAGGGGGACAGAAGCTTCCACGGCCTCACCCAAGCCCATTGTGTTCCTTGATGGGGAGGCCACTGCAGGTGCTCTTCTCAGCCTTGCCCACGGCAGGGGACTTTGCCAGCCTCAGGACGGCCAGCACTGGGAAGTCCTCTAGGTAAAACCCTACCCACACGCCATCCCAGTGTGCTCCAGGTGAACAGGGCTGGCCTCCCGGGCTGGGCTCCATCCCCTCCCACATCTGCCACCACTGCCCCACCCCAGGAGCTGGTATCCTGGGCAGGTCTCTCTGGGAGGGGGTTAAGCCCTCCAGTATTGATGGTTGTCACCAGAAAGATAATGAGAACCCTGGGAGCCCCTTCTATTGGCCACTCCTGCGCAGTCCTGGCTGGCTTGGTGGCTGATGGTCTGTCAGGCCAGTGAGAACAAAGGTCAGCTGGACAGCTGTCCCCACCCCACCCCCTAGCTGAGGAAGCAAAGAAGAAAGCCAAGTGTTTGCAGAAAGGAGGCCCACCGAGGAACTTTGCCCCTCCTGTTCCTGCACACTGCCAGGTCAGGATCCTGTCTACTCTGCAGCCCTGGCTCTTGCCAGACCCCTCCTAGCAAAGGAAGAGATGGGTGTACACGTGTGTGTACACAAGAGCGTACCTGTGTGCTACCTGCATGCACAGCGGGCTAGGCCTAGTTTCATCTCTATCCTCACAGCACTCAAGAGGACCCTGGGAGTCTCTCTGAGAGCCCAGGGCCCAGCACCTTGATCTGCTCGGGGCTTAGGAAGCCTGCCTGCCAGTTCCTGGTGGGGCCAAGTCCTGCTTTGGCTCCAGGCCAACCAAACAACCACACACAACCTCACTCCTCGCTGTCACCACTGCCATCCCTCGAGAAGCCACATTCTAGCAACATCAGAAAGCGGAGAGGGTGGCAACTTACTCCGCTCCAAGCCTCTTCTGGAGGGCCCACAGCTCAGGAAGGGCCCCTGTGTGTCCCACCTTCTTACTGCCAGCTTCCCAGGGCCCAGTGTCATCTGCCTGCCCCTTACACTGCTCCCCTCCCCTCCCACTGATACTTGGACTTGGGAGGAAAAGCAAGAGCCAGCTTTGGGGCTACGAGCTCCCCAACACCCCCCTGTGGTGCCACTGCCCAGGTGAAAGGGCTGTGCATGCAGGCACAGACCCCAGTGTCCCATGGCTGCTTGAACTGTGAGCACCCTGGGCCCACTTCGTCCGCTCGCCGTTTTCAGCCTGTGTTCTGTGGGAGTGAAGCGGCTGTGTCATGTCCTTAGCCCCCAGCACCTCACCTGGCGTGCAGAGGTGTTCTTTAATAAGTATTGCATGAACAAGTGAATAAGTAGAATGCAGGTGCTAAACACAGTTCTTGGTCCCAAAAGCAACTGAGGAGTATCTCACAGTCACAGGGTGCAGCTGCAGGGTTTGAGCCATGAGGTTTTCCGGACACAACACAGGCGTCATTGGAATTGGAAGGCAGGGTGGTCCCTGCTCGTCCAGTGGGATGTGTCCCAGGAGGGTGACCTGGTCAGGGCAGATGGGGCCCTGTCAGCCCCTGCAGACCCTGAGTCTCACCATGATCTTGAGGATGGCACGCTGGGTTCAGAACGCCCTTGCCATGGACAGCTTATAGCCCAGTCAGAGTTTGTTTCCTCGAGGTCAGGATTCTCCCCTTGCCCCCTGCATTTCACTTTGGCTCCCTTTGGGATTGATGAGAAGGGACATTCCCTTCCCCTTTAAAGCAAACACCTAGCCCTGAACTCCCTCCTGGCAGATCCTGCAGGAGCACACTTTTGTTTCCTTGCCTGGGAAAGCGAGGTGGGTGGCCCCTGTGAAGTGCTCTGCCAGGGCTGGGTGGTGGTCACATTCTTTCCTGAGGGAGGGGGAGGTAGCTCAGGCAGAAGCTGTGTCCACTGCCAAGAACTTCCGTGGTCCCTCTTGGGAGCCCAGGTATATTCTGAAGCCCCTGCCTGCCACAGATGCCCACAGAAGCTGGACAGGCTCCTGGCCTGACACTTGGCCTGGCTGGGGAGGGTGGGCCTGGAATGTGCACTCCACGAGGGGCTGTCTCAGGTATGGGGTAGGGAGCTTCCGTCCAGGGCTTCTCTGCATGGATTTGGGGCCACCTTGGTTTTCTCATGGGTCGGCATGGCCCCCTGGGTGAGCCCCGAAGTGACAGGTAGACTCGTGGGCTCAGCATGACCCCTCCCCAGCAGAGATGAGTCCCCCACCAGAGCCATCGTGGTTGCTGGGAGATGGGCTGACCTGGAGGATGCGCCGTGATGTTCACCAGGATACCAAAGCTGCTCTTCTTGCCAGGGCCGGGCCTGGTCTGCAGAGCTGGGAGGAGGAGCTGGCCCTTCCCCAGCAAGAAGCCTCCGTGCTGTCAGCTCAGTGGCATCCACACCTCTGCCACCGCCTCCACACCCAGACAGTAGCACCTGCATGTCCTGATGGGCTGGCCAGTACTGGGCCAGATGGAGGTGGTGGCCGTGCCCAGGTGGCCTGGCTGGCACTGCCTTGCCTACTTGCTCCCGCATTCCTTGAGCATGAGCTCAGCTGAGGCCGAGGAAGTGAAACCTCACGGCTATCCCTGTGTGTCATGCAGGGGGCACGGCAGGTACCTTGGTGACCCGTCTTGCTTGGCCCTGGGTGGCCTCTGACATTTTCTCCTGTCGCTCAGGACATTCGTGGAGCTTGGAGTACTGTGCACACTCACACATCCACAGGCACATGTGCACGCACAAACATGCACACACGAGAACACTGAACTCAGTCACGTTTGCCTTTGCCCAGTCTGAGCCTCCCTCTGTTCCGTCTTGTCACAGCAGTCCTGCCCTCGGCCTTTCTCTGCCTGGCCTTGCTGCCTCTCCTGGACCTGGGGGCAGTTGGAGGAGCACCCTGCTCAGAGCTTCCTCTACCTCCTGAGCTCTGCCTCTGCCCAGGATTCTCCTGCATGTCAGAGCAGGCTCATCCCACTGTCCATGTGACATCTGTGCCCCAGGTGCTCCTTGGATTTCACCTGCCCAGACCCCTCGTCCCCAGCCCCATGTGTAGCCTGTTCCTCCTCGGTGTTCTGTCCCCAGACCAGAGCCATGTGCGTGCCCACCTCTCCTGCCTGTTGTGCAGAGCATGAGGAATCCAGGTCTGCCTGGAGCTGCCTCCCCTCACTTCAGAGGACTGAGCTGGGGCTTTCCTAGCATCCACTTAGGCCTGTGGCTAAAATCTCAGCAGCCGGAAGGGACATTTTATTATTAGTATACGTTTGTGATACTTAATGAATACATTCATTGTGATGAGTTGGTATATATACTGTGTATTGTGGCTGGCATTGCTCTGCTCACACCCTTCCTGTCCTGCCAGAGGGGAATCACCATACTCAGTTCTCCAGTGCTTACCTCATGTCATCCCTCCTACTGCAGCAGCACCCTGGCCTCCAGGGCCTTTGCACTGGTTTGGCCTGCCTGCCTGCCATTGTGCCGGCTGATGATGGTGCTTGCTTCCCTCTCTGCCTTCCTCTTTGCTGCTGGGTCTTCTCCCCAGCTGAAGTCTCCCCTTAGCTCTGTGGGACTTTGTCCAGCTGGATAGGTTCCCACACTGGTGCTGGGTCCAGGAAGGCAGGGCCACCTGACTGAGGATTTGGCCGAGCTGTTACTGTCTAAAGTTCCCAGCCTGTGGGAACCCTGGTATGGCAGCCAGGGGTCAGTGAGTCCAGCCCCACATGTGGTTGGTTTGCCGCTCAAAGCTTGAGCCCTCATCCACAGGAGAACAGGTCTTGGTGCCCCTGGTGTGGATACCCTGCCACACCTTAGGGCGAGTGCCTAAGCACATGACAGGGGACAGGTTTCCTAGAGCCAGGTCCTACACTAGGGTGCGGCTTGGTGTCCTAAAATGTCCTCCTCATGTGCTGTGCTGGTCCTGCAGCCTGGGACAGGAGCTGAGACAGGGTTTCCTTGTCCAGGCCAACAGTTTAGGGCTGGGTCGGGGCTGCACAACCTCCTGTATGCCTGCAGTCAGCTGACTTCCCTTCCTGTTGTCCTCAGGAAGACTCAGGCTCACAGCATGACAAGCGGTTGGAAGGCTTAGGATGTGGCTGAGACAGGATTTTCTTTCAAAGTTCCTCCCGGGGTCCTCCCTGGCTGGGGTTGGCTGTTGACAGTCGTTGCGTATTATGCCGGTAGAATTCTCATATGGCTGCTGTTTGTGTGTGCCTGTTTTTACACCGTGTAATTAAAACATTTATTTGGCCTTCGCAGCGAAAATCTAATTTCTTGAGTCTAAGAACTGCCGATATTGGCAGGGAGACCGCAGTCCGTCAGGCAAACAGATCTCGGAGCCTGTTGGATTATTATTCATAGCATGGTATTTGCAAATCAGACTGTGGATCACTCTAATCAGAGCTGATATTTGTAATTGATGTGTTGAGTTGGGGTTTTAGCGTGGGGGGCGTCACTGAGCGTTTGTGTGTGGCCGGCGGGCGGCCTTCTGGCGCTGCCAGCCGGGTAGTAGTGCCTCTGCCGCGATGTGTCTGTGCTGGCATTGTGCTGCCTGCCTTGCAGAGGGCCTCCTCCTTACTCTGCAGACCCCTGCAGCCAGGTCTGTGCCTGTCTCCGGGGTACATATGTGAACCCAGAGCCTCGGTCTCCTGCCCAAGGGTGTTTCACGGAGGCAGAGCTGGGGTTTGAACTTGGAGCCTGAGGTGATGTCTACCCTTAATTTGCTCCCCACAGGGTCCTCCCAGAGTCCTGGGGTGGACACAGAGTGACACGCTTTTTCTCTGCTTTCTTCCAGACCATCATGGAGCAGTTCAACCCCAGCCTTCGCAACTTCATCGCCATGGGGAAGAACTATGAGAAAGCTCTAGCAGGTAGTGCTCTGGGCGGATGGACTGTGGCTCAGCCCTGGAGCCCAGGTCGAAGCCATGGGTCTCTTCCTCCAGAAACAAAACCCAGCAGGCTGCCTGAGGCTGTGCATGCCATCAGAGTGACTGTATGTCCTTACCCTGTGGGTCTTCTTGTCCTGGGGCTGTGGTTATGAGAAGGGTACCAAAAGATGGGTGTGGTTGTCTGCCCTACAGAATTACCTGGAAATGGAGGGTTGGGATGTACAGGACATGACTGGTGTCGTAGCAACAGTATGTGGCCTGTCCCTGCTGAGTAGACCTTGTGCAGCTCCTGGTCCAGGAACCAAGCCTAGGACGGCTGGACAGGATCCTTGAGGACACCCTTGTCCAGCTCATGGAGGGGACAGATGCCGAGCCACAGCCCTTGGATCCTGGGTCTGGTAGGGCCCAGGGAGAGCTGAGTGGTATGCTGCTGGAGACCAGCTGTTCTGGCCTGACCCTGTTCTCCGTGAAGCCCTGCAGCCGTCCGGGCAGGACAGGGCTGTCACTGGTGCGATGTCTTCATAGGTACCCTCTCCCCAGCAGGAGTGTCGTGTGTTTCCGAAGAGGCACCACTTCTTTGCCACCTCCAAGTGGGCCGAGGCTGTGGTCCACTGTTGGGAAAGGGGAGGGCTCAGCTCTTCTTCTCTTCCTGCTGCCCTTACCCCTTGGTCACTTGGGAACAAAGGACCCTGACCAAGCACCGGCGGAACGGGCTTGTCCCTGGCCTCCTTGTCTCACCGTCATGCCACGGAGAGCCCTCTGTTACACAGCCTGGGTCCTCCCTTCTGAAGGCCACCATGGGCAGGGCTGCCCCTGCAGAACGGGAGCGATGACAGTGTCCTGTACAGGCCGAGAGGTTACTGAGGCCATGCCAGGGAGAAGCCTCCCTGTGACACCTCACCGTCCCCAAGCCTGCTGGAACCCAGAGCACTGGCCCTGGGGGTGGCCCCTGTGGGCGGCATAGGTCAGGGCTTCCCTCTTACACCCTCTACTTGGGGTACACGGAAGTAGTTCTACAGCCAGTGTGTCAGGGCCCCCTGTGCCATCCTGGGATGACTTCACTTATCCCCACCCCATCCCTCCACAGCCCTGAACGGGGTTACACAGCCCCAGGGGCCTGCATGTCAGACCTCTGGAGGCCTCTTGCTATGTACTTGGCTTCTGTCCCAGGAGCTGTCCCCTCAAGTGGAGAGACAGCCTACAGGGTCTTTGTGGCATCGCAGATTCCCCCAGGCCAGGCCATGGCATGGAGGAGTCCTGGGCTTGGTGGCAGGCACGGCCACTTCCGGGTCCAGCTCACTCCCCTGCCGTGGTACGTTGTTTGCTCACGCTGGCCCTGGCCTGTCCTCACAAGAGTGGACTTGGCCTGTGTCTGTGTGCTGACCCAAGAAGAGGGGGTGGGAAGGGGAGGCGGTGTAAGAGGGCAGAAAGCTCCCGCTTCAGGCACTGCACACCATGGTCAGATTGAGCAGAGCTAGTGTCTGGGCTCAGGGAGCCCCTTGCTTCTCACCGTCCAGGCCTTCCGCCCTTCCCTGTGTACCGTGGGTGTGGGAGTCCGAAGGCACAGGACAGGTTCCTGTGGGGACTGGGAGCGAGGTGCAAGTTTCAGTGACAGCACCTTTTCCCAAAGCCATTTTTTGTGAGGTGCTCCGTGACCTAAGACACGGAGAACTCTCCCTACCTCCCATGGTTTTCCCTTGGGCGGAGAATTCTGTTCCCAGGTGTCCGGAGGTAGGGAGTGGCCGTGACGTCCTTTCAATGGCTGAGCTGGCGGCCTGGGTTGTGACCTCCTCCTCTTTGATGCAAGCACGGGTTTCCTTCCGGGCCTTTCCGCCTCCCCCTTGGGTTCCTCCTGAGGTTGTCCCAGCTGTGCACACAATCTGAGGGTGACTTCCTCTTCCTGTTTTCCTTGATTGTTTATGGGACACGCTCAGTATTCGGGGGGCCCCCACACTACTTTGGCCACACTGCACCCGGAATCTTCCTCTCCACTGTCCTTTGGTTTATTTTAGGAAGCCCACCCTCCCAGGTGGCAGAAGCACTCGCACTCCCTGGGGACAGTCTTGTGCCACCGAACAAATCGTGTGCACTTAATTGAAAACTATTTAAATAAAATTTGATCAAGTGCCCAGTTTATAAGCTCTTAAGTGGGTTCTTTAGAAAACAGGTTAGAAATTGTAATTATACCACTGGCAGCTGCTCCCTGGCCTTGTTCTCCAGGGCTGCTGCCTCAGCCTTCGTGCAGCCTGAAGGGCAGGATGGGTGGGGCCTCTTTTCAGGTGTAGGAGTTTGCTAGGCACCCAGAGAGTTCAGGAGGGTGCTACAAGTTACTTGAGACCTACCAGCTTCTGTGTGAACTTAGCACACCTCAGCGGGAGCTGCCCAGCTGGGGTAGGGTGTGATCAGCCTGCTTCTCCCTCTCCCTCAGGCCGGGGTTACCTCTGAGTGGATGTGAGCCCCTCTGGCTGCAGCAATGCCAGGTTATGGAGTTTGGGGGTTTGTTTATCTGTGCTCGCCCACTGAGCTATGCCCCCAGCCCTTTATATTTTCTGTTGAGACAGTCTTGCTAGGTTGGTCAGATTAGGCTCACATTTGTGACCCTCTTGCCTCAGCCTCCCCAGGAGCTGGGATTTCAGGGCTGTCCAATGGTGCCTGGCTCTTCAGCCTGCCTTCAGTAGAGGCCTCAGTTCCCCATTAGGCCGTTTTGAGACTGGGGCCGGAGAGAAGGGGCTGTCCCTTGGCTTTGGTTTGGGGTCCTTGGGTGAAGCAGTGGCCCCGTCTTCCTGTCAGCCCTTTGTCTCACCGAGTGCACTTGAAGCACAGCTCCCTCCCCTTGTCACACAGCGCGTGACAGGGTGCAGCATGCTGTAGGTGACTTGAGTGGCTCCAGACCTGCACAGTACACATTGTTCTTGCACATAAAGGAGCTGCCAGGGTTGGAGTGAAGTAAGAGTATCAGCAGGAGGCAAGGTGAGGTGCGGCCTGGAGCCAAGGCGTATGTGTTCTGTGCACTTGTCCAGGTACATGGAGGGGTCAGCCTGAGCTGGACCCCTGTGTTTCTGCTGTGGGTCTTGTCTGGACCTTGTGAAGGAAGTAACCGCCCTCTCCTCTTCTCTCTCAGGTGTAACCTTCGCTGCCAAAGGCTATTTTGACGCCCTGGTGAAGATGGGGGAGCTGGCCAGTGAGAGCCAGGGCTCTAAGGAACTCGGTAAGGCCCCAGACTATGCAGAGCCCAGAGTTCCTGGGTTGTCCCCTGTCCCAGGCGGGTCTGGGGTTTTATTCACTTCTGACCCTTCTTCAACGTGGGATCAGATTTTACCTGTCAGCAACAAGCAAAGGTGTTTTAAAATGACACGCACCTCAGAGGTGGCGAGAGCACCCCCTCCTGAAAGAGGGGGCAGGTGGTCTCAGGTGCTGTGCGGAGGTCTCCCTGGTGGGCTCCTGTCCATTGGAGCACAGCGCAGGGACAGAGAGGAGTGGGCAAAGCTGTGCTTAAAAGAATCAGCTGAAGCCCGAACAGCCAGCGTGGGGGACTTGGGTGGAAAATGTGACTTGGATGCTGGCGTCTCCTGACATGCAGGGTCACCGCTGGCATGAGGATGGGTGGAAGAGGGGACGCAGGCATGGCCCAACCTGTTTTCCTTAAGTGTCACGCTTGCCACGTTCCAGTAAATGGAGGAGACGTATCAACAGGTGGAATTCCTGGGTACCTTGCTATTTTTTATGCTTTTCTGTTTTGGAGATGGTTTGTGAGAAGTTTATACCGCTATCAAGGGACACAGAATGTGCAAGTCATGGGCTGCCTGCAGTGTGGTCGAGAGCTTGGCTTCGGGTGGAGCCCACATTTGCATGGGCCTCCTGGCTGGGGTGTCCATGCCACGAGGCAGCTGAGGTCTCCCCTCCCTCATGGGATGCTGTGGCCATGAGGTAGGCCTGGGGTGGCCTGGCCTGTGCCCTGCACAGTGCTGGAAGGGGCTGTGGTCACAGGCTGATGGTGGACCAGTGAAGAACCCCAACTGGTTGAGCACGGGGCAGGCTGTCTGCTTCCGGCCTCCTCGCTCCTCTCTGTTCCAGGAGGTGGCCCTTGTGACTGGCCAGCAAAGGCCACAGGTGGAGATGCTCAGGTGGAAGCAGGTTGGTGTGACAGGGCGGCCAGGCTGACGTGCTCTGGGGTCTGTCCGGTTTTTCTTCAGAGCCCAGTAGCTCCCCTTGGTTCAGGTGAGGCCTAGGTTGTGTGGCAGACTGGGTGCTGGGCTCTGTCAGGGAATCCGGCTCACTTGGTGGATCTCGGCCACAGGCTGTGTGCACAGGTCTGCCCGGCCTCACTCACGCTCTGCCCCTGTGTGCATCTCCTGACCTTGCACACGGATGCTGCGCTTGTAGACGGCAGGCTTTGCAGTCACCTCTGCCGCTCCCTCGCTGGAGGTTATGGAGACCTGCTGGTGTCCCGTGGGTCTCGATCCCCGTGGCCTCCAGAATCTCTGAGGAGGCTGATGGATGCAACCGTGGGCCTGGCCTGGGGTGAGGGGACAACGCCACGCATGGACATGGCCCAGCGTAGTGGGAGACCACGGGGCAAGTCCTCACCCTGAGCGTGTGTGCACGGTGGCTCTCAGCCTCCGAAGGAGGCCACGCTGTCCCCCCGAATGTGGGTGTCCGACCTTTAGCTTGCCTACACCACGTGGAGTGAAGAGGAACGGTTCTGGACCGCAGACAGAATATGTAAGGAGTATAAGGTAAAGTACATAAGAAACAAAACTGACTGAATTTAATATTTTCACTTAAACTATGTTATAAAATAACAGGCTCAGGTTTAATAAGGAAACTTAGATGTCTGCTTAATAACAATAACCAGTCTTCACAGGCACATGCACGGGTCTGTGGGTTAAATACTCTTCTCAGTAGTTGCTGAGTTCTACTTGCCAAGTTGCACCAACTGTATGGTGCCCGATGCAGGGGGGCTCCCGTTCACCTGTGCGGTGGCATGGGAGGCACAGTGACCGCTGCACACCCGTGCTCCTCCCCCTGCTCCCCCACTCCCCAGCATTCCACATGTGGTCACCTGTGTGGTCCATGCCTGAGCACTGCGCAAATCGAGTGCTGAAAAATGTCACTGAAAATGACATAATCCTATTAAACGTTTGTGGCTTTACCTATTCTGAATATTGCATAGAACAGAATCACACAGTCTCTGTATGTCTGGCTGCTTTCCCAGAGTGGGTCTTGATGTTCATGTTGTGGTGTGTGTCAGGATTTCCTTCCTTTTTGTGGCTGTGTAATGTTCCAGTGAGCGGAAGGACCACATTTTGCATTCTTTGAACATCTGTATCGCCTCCGTTTTTTGGCTGCTGTGAGCATGGGTGTACACATGTATTTGTATAAATGTATGTTTTCACTTCTCCTGGACAAGTGCCTGAGTGTAAAACTGCTGGGTCAAATAATTGGAAGTTGAATTTTTATTAAAGCATTTGCTTTAAAAATAAGTTGGTTCTTTTGCCAGCCCCCTCCTGCCCATGCCCTGCTTCTCAGAGGCAGCTGCCTCCAGATCCTTTGCTATTTTCTCCTGTGTGTCTGAATGACAGGTTAGTGCTATTTCTTCTTTGTTTTAATTCTAGATATTATCTAATGACTTCTTCTGATAGAAGATTGGATTTTTTTTTTTTTTTTTTTTTTTTTTTTTTTTTTTTTT